ACCATTTTTGATTTTCCCAATGCCATTGTGCTGAAGTGATTTGTGAACGACTCAAATCACACGTTGTTTGTATTCGATAGTCCGGTCGGTGTTACACCACGGTCATCAATCTTCGTTCGCGATCTCGCCGTTTGGTAAAATAGTCTTTCTAATCCATGATAACGGAAGAGATGATAATGATAGCCTTCGTTTTTTGCATCACACTTCACTCGAAGGCTTCAATAACCCAGGCCATTCCATGGAATAAATCTAATGTGAGACGACCTGCGTTCACCAGTCAATATTCTACTCAGTGTGTTGAAAAATTCATTCCGGGCTAACATCACGCTAATCGGGAATCGTTCGTGTGCTGGGTTCTCATTCTTCTCTCTTGTATGATACTTGTGATCGCGACTGGAGTTATTTAAAACCAATTCATGATGACCATACTTAGTGCTTTCTACCTGTGAAGGTAGATGTGATAATCCAAGACCTTTCGTATATCCGTCAGATTGTTCATTAAATGTTCCTGAAATCCGCGAAAGGTTTCTGACGCATCAGCTACATTTTTATTTAGTATAGTTACCCAACACCGGCGATTCAATAGCTTCCAGCCACTAGTCCTTGCGGCCTGGTCATCGAGCTAATCAATGGCAGTTGGTAGTGGCTGAACCAAACAAGTTAGCCTCACAACGTGTTGTCAATTAACTGTTATGATTCAGTCGATCGTTAAAATTTTATCGCAACCACGTTAGTGATGTTTCATTCACTAGTAGTAGGTTACCAGTAATATGTCAACAATTCGATGAAGCTAGGCTAAAGAAAATTTGCCCCTCACGGTACTTTAAATGAAACCGATTGAGAATCGGTTTTATTACTACAGTGCGTGGACGTCCGATCAATTGGTTTGTCCACTAACCCGCGACGATTTTCGAACAGTGTATTACGCCATCGTATCGGTTATGCCTACGGCTTATCACATTCAAGGCTTGTGCTTGCTTCTCGACCGGGAGTAGTTTTGGGCTTCAGTGGTCGAGTGTTTGATGTCACCTGAATAGTAACCGTGAGTTCGAACCCTACCACCGCTGCCCATCTTCCTCATTTGTATATTTCCCCAGACATAGTCTTGTTGGTTGCAGCCATTGTCCGGGATAATAACCATACCATTACATATTCAGTAGATAAAAAAGTGAGTAAAAAGCATCATCTCATTATCGGTATAAACACAACTGCCCATTTACTCTTCCTCATATTCTCTGGCAGTCGTTGATGTTACCCCTTTTCTTTTGAAATTCTAAAAAGCTTAGTAGCCTCAGTGAGATTCGAATCTGTTTTGGTAGTTCCCTTTCATGGGTTTCAGTCTTCACAACCACTAATCATGCACCGGTTTTTGTTGCTGTCTCTTGACTGCCCATTTGGATTAGATGGCAGAATGAAGATTGGAATGTTGAAAATGAATTCAAGGGGATGACAGAGGACTTATATAGAGTGGGGTTGCACAAATAATGAGTAGGTGCATAAGCGCGACTGTTTGTGACATCCAGGCATATTTCCCAGTGACTAACCACCGGTGAGCATGATCTCGGGGTCCCCAGCCACGGATCCTAACGGGACCAATGTGGCCCAGTGTCCTGTTTATGGTTTTCGTATCCTCATGTCAGGTCTTAGTTTGACGGCCCTTGGCCTTTTTCTAACCGCTACGCGCCTCGGCAAACATCGCTCGCTGTGACAAACTATTTGGGGATATGCGCACCACGTATCCCAACCAGCGTAATCTATGAAGGTCGACCACTTGCTCCAGTGGACGATCGCGATTATCTAAAACTCTACGCCTAATCCCAGCATTGCTTGTTCGCTTTCTCCTCGAGACACGTGCAATTCGACATAGACAGCGATGTTCACACATCAACAATCTGTTTTTATCCTGTTGTTGTCTGACTACATGCCAACCTGCCAACCCCATGTACCTCTGTAAGTTGGATTGATAATCAAATTGTGAAAAAATCAGTGCTATCAGTGTGGCCTCGTATCTCTGGTATATATACATAAATCTTGTGAAACAATTAAATACCTACACTGTTCGCTTTGTGATTTGATGTGTGATCCTGACAATGCGCTTCACTGTTTACTTCAATTGAATGTCAGTGTTAACTGTGGTGGAACCTAACTGCAATCCTCCTCCCCCCTCCGAAATAGCATTTAGAAAGAAAATCCAGAAATACTTACAGGACAACATGTGGGATTCACAACAAACGAGATCTCCGTGTCTTACACTCTCGTTTCTTTTTTAAAAAATCTTATTTCCCTTTATTAAAAATACAATGATGCAATTTTCAGGAAGGGGGAGGCAGCCAATCATAGAGCTGCGAGAACGAGGGAAGTCAGGCGGTGTTGTTGGATTCAAACACACGACCCCCCCCCAACGGGCGATAATTTCATGACCCTTCATTTGTTACAATATGGCGATTTCACAAAACCCTTAAATACATGTGTAAAGTCAAACGCAACAGGCCTTGGTATTGCGTAAATGTACCTTCAAAGTGCAAAGTGATGCTATAAGAATGGTTGTCGTCTACCCTAGCGCTGATGCTTGATGGTTAAGAATTAGCTGCAGTGGAATGTTTCAGCTGCTTAGGTAGCTGCGTTTCAAATGACAGTAGCATAGTCAATGAAGTAACCGCCCGTATTTCCAAGGCTCGAGCAGCTTATGCAGGATTGAAACACCTTTGGTGCAGACGTGATGTTTCGTTCAAATGAAGAGTCGTGTATACTGCGCCAGTGTGCGGTCTGCTATATGGTTGCGAGACCATGAATTTGCGCGTGGAAGATATTCGTCGTCTTGAAGTATTCGACTGCAGATGTTTACGTAGTTTGGCTCGGGTTGGATGGAGCGAGCGTGTAAGCAACTCTGAGGTCAGTCGTCGCGTATTTGGTAATGATTCGATGGAGAATTCGTTGCCCCATCTAATTCAGATTAGTCGGCTCCACTGGTTAGGACACGTTTTGCGCATTGAGTAGGACGATACGTGGGAGAAACACGGGGATCCAATTCATTTAAGGGTAGCCATGTATTGTTGTAAGTCCCAATATACACAAATAATCATAATGAAAATCTTCAACGTAATTTATGCTACTGCTGTACTGTGTTCCGGTTTTTCAATTTTTTATCTTGTTTACTGTTAGACTCGGATAAGGTCATTCAGTTGATGTTCCAGGTCGTCCGGTTTTCTCGTCATATTCGATAGTTTATTGACACACGCCTCAGAGCATTACCTGAACTGCTGTTTTCCAGCTACATAGTTAGGTTAATTTTTGCTGGCATGTTTTTATCAAGAGTTGAACTGCGTTCCACTCTCCTGGAACAACAACTGCCTGTTCATAAGTAGAAAATTTCACGACGGGCTATGGAATTTCTATGAAACAGAAACGGAAAAATTCAAATTCACCTTATTTACAGAATGCACTGCACAGGTTGCAGTGTTTCTCACGTTCGAATTCGGTTTACTGTGCCATGCGATCTGCCCACTATCTGATTCAATCGTTAACTATGTTGTACTAAATATTTGGATGAATATTTGTGTTTGTGGAGCACGCTTGGAATTTTTTGGACAAGAATCTGAGAAACCTAACTGGTTTACTTCTCTCCATTTATCGATTATATTGGTATGCTCATTAGAAAGCATTGCGTCTAGTTACAGAATGTGTAACCTGTTCGCTGTTACAATGCACATAGAGAAACATCGTGTGATTTTCTAATCATCAGTTCGATTTGGTTGATAAAATGTTTCGTGGATAAATAGATAGGACTAGTTTATTAGTATTTTCGAAGATTTACTGAGATGCCACTGAACAGTCTATTGTATTGACAAATTCCGTAAACTTGCGGATGCCTCAAGAAAAGAAAACAGTAGTTTGAAGGAATAAAAATGAGATCCGTGATACAGTAGTTCGTCGTGCAGCAAGCTGTCTCACATCTGGATTCGGTAAGGATAACTACGACCACTATTCTGAGTATCCGCTGTCCATGGAACTTGCCTGTTTAGAGGTTTGTCGTTTTACTGCATTTCTTGCTTCTCTACTTTTACAGCATGGGGGTAGATCGCCGAGGTTCAGTCCCGAACATGGTCACGCACGGTGCAGAAAGCGTACCCAGAGCGTTTCACCTGCCTGCGTAGAAGACAAGAATTCCTCTAATGTGTTGAGAATAGCAAACACGAAATTGAAATTCCTTGTTAGCCGACGGTTTCAAGGATTTGGGGCTTTCAAATACCTCCGAGCAGCGCTCACAGATCAGGTTCAACTTGAGTGCCCAAGTGAGCAATGGAGGTTTCGTATGAAACCGAATATTGCATCAGTACGCACCTCGTGCTGTCAAAAGATATGGCTTCGTTTCAATTGTAGCTAAATTATCACATGCTAACTACTTTGACTGAATTTTGTGTCACTCAAAGTACGGAACAAATAGCGAAGGAGCTAAAGCATCGCACACCACGAAACTTGGAATATCTAAACAGGATACTACGTCTCAGCGAAATTGGTGCTCTTCAATGCGGTTAACAGACTTGCTGTTGAGAATGTTTGCTACTCAAAGTCAACAGCACGATGCAATTCATTATTTTATACAATCCACAGAGAGTAAGTAGTGAATTTAATATCACAACATATATGTTTCCGAGCTCGTAAGTCTATTCTTTAGCCGAATTGACGTTTCTACTCCCGACTCTATCTAGGTTAGTTATAATATTATTAATTTGGTTTGAACTTTGGGATTTATTATTTACTGCTCCACGGAATGGTCTATCATATTGGTCCCGTGGACCATCTTAAACGTGTCTCAGGCCTCAGTATTTTTGGGGGTAAACAGTTTCACCAAGACGAGTGATTTGTTTCTTTTTGACTATTTCAGTGTTTAAATGAACAACGAGCCCTGGAACATCAACGACTGCATGCCATGGTTAATGGACTGACAGTATATCAGCGTGTGGTGAACGAGGCCATTCCGGAGCTAAAATCAATGGCCTCTGACATCGCGGTAAGTGGTTTATTTGCATTCTAATTTTAAATTTAGGAATTCTCTTCCACAGTTGCGTTTGAAACCACCACCGCTTCTTTCTTTCGACTTTATCCTGACAACAGACAAACAAGGTGTTGTCCCTTTTCGATGTATTGAGAACTTGATGTTTCGAGGTTGCCACTTACCTCCTAATTTTTTTACCTTGTTACTCAGTCTAACATTGTTCATCAATATCATCATCCGCATCCCAGTAAAAACTTTACAATGCGTTAGTGAAAAAGAGCACGGAGCTCCTTGATTTACCGCCCAAATCAGACGGATGATGTGTGTGTGTTTGCAAACACGCACATCTTTAAGAGCTGCTGTGCATCGAATCTAACACTGCGACTCCCATGCACTTGAAAGCGCTTTTGATCATTTTTTGTGCAGAACCTTTTGAAGTTCGCTTTGTTCTTCATCATCGTTTCTTTCGATATATCAACTCATGATTAGCTTCGTTTATTCGGAATTAGAGATTACAGACATAGTGCTGCGTCACTGAATGCTAGTTAACATGCACATTTAGTTATCAAGAAGTCAATTTGACAAACAAGCTCGTTTTCGGTGCCTTATTTACTAGCCAAATACCGCACTCTTTTATGGATCACAAAATCACAATTCAAGGAAATTGAATAAGCGTAAATAATTTCTGTGTTTGTATACTATGGATAATACAGTTAGCGGTGTATGGGAGTTCAAATCATCCTGCAAATGTCATTTATACTGTCGAATGAATCAAATACATAAACGATTTGATACTTATTTGATAACTGGCTTTATG